GGCTGTAAAGATGATAGCCACTTTCGGCTAAGAGTCGGCTCCCAACACCTGTGCCATTGAGATGGAAGGACTACTAAGCTACAGGGTGAACCTGTGTCATTAAAGTTGCAGAAAATATACCAGAGGGCTGAAAGATGGCTTAGAGGGTAAGGATGCTTGTCTCCAAGTCTGATTTTATTCACAACCTGAGTTTGTGAATAACCCACATGGTAGAAGAAGGGAACTGACTCACTCACACACTAATCTGAGAAACGGGGCAGGGAAGAGGGAAAGAAGATAGAGGGGGAAGGGGGAGGGGAAAACAGGGAGGGAAGGAGGGAGGGAGGGAGAGAGAGAGGGAAGGAGAGAGAGAAAGAGAGAGAGAGAGAGAGAGACAGAGACAGAGAGAGACAGAGAGAGACAGAGAGAGACAGAGAGATTCACCACAGGAATGGGTCTGTACTGGAGTAACTAACAATGGGTAGAGATCAATGGGTGGAGATTAGAAGGTGGCTTATGGGGGAAGTATTGCTGACCCTTACTTTCAACTCACTGGACTTAGATCAAAAAGAGATTTTGCTTTTGTTTGAGACAGCACCTTGCTATATAGCCCTAGCTGGCTCAGAATTTGCTATGTAGACCAAAGTTGCATCAAACTTTCAGTGATCTTCCTGCCTCTGCCTCTCAAATGCTGGAATTATGAGTGTGTGTTACTATGTCAGGAAGTAAAGCGATTTTTTTTTTTAATGAATGCCAGTGTGACAGGGTTACAGGAAAAAGAGTATCCACATGAGTCTCTCCCACTTTACATTTAGTTCATAGAAACATTTAAGAGGACACAATATGAAGTCCTACAAATAGATATGCCAAAGTGGCTGATATTTGTGATGTTAGGGACTCTGTTTCTATACCAAAGTCAACATTTGTCTATATGTACATTAAAACCCAAGCAATTTAAAGATTTAACACAGCAAAACTAAATCAAGGGCTTAATTCCCCTATGAAAGGAAATATGTTGCCTTCATTCGTCCAAGTAAATTGATTGTACCCTCCATATGCCAGGGTGAGGTTTCTGGTGATCAACATGATAATATCACTGTCCTTCCACACCAACTCTCTATACCAGATTGGGAAAAGAGTAGGTAATGGGGGTGGATCAGAAAATAAACACAAATAATACCAATCTCACACGACAGGTGCTGCAGAAAAGGGGAAAGAGTTGGTAGTTGGTGTGAATTTGAAGGAGAAAGTTTCCTTTGAGTAGGACTAGGCTGGCATTATATTTTATATAAGTCCAAATGGAAACCACTGGAAGTTTTTCAGCATGATCATGTTTTTTTTTTTTTTTTTTTTTTGTCTTTCTCTGGTTGCTTAACAGAAAATATTCAAAAGGTGAGGAGAAATGTCAGCTGGAATGCCGGGGGAACCTTCAGTGTGAATCCAGGGGGAATGTCTGTTTTCTGAATGGATGCAGGGGTTGATGTGAATGGGGGATTTGGGGAATACATTTTGAAGGGGAAACAATGGGATTTTGAGGCACCAGATATTGAGAGAGCAAACACATGTGAATAATCAAAAATACCTCCCAACGTTTCTTTGTCTTTACTTCAGCTACAATCATACTCAGCAAGAACCAAATAATGAAAAGATAGCTTAATTCTATTTTTAAAAATGGGGCCAGTAGATAGTCAACAATCCCAATGAGTAAGTTGGAAGTGGGGGGAAAGGAAGCAGATATACAAACAAATGCATAATGCCAGGAAACAGACAAAACCTGCGCACTCAGAGATTGGGGTAGGAAAAAAAATGAAACATTCAGCCTTGGTTAAATACAGTACAGTTTCATTCTGGTGTCCCAGTGGACATTAACCGAACACTGCAGCTCTGGGGACAGGCATGTATAACAAAAAGCAACAATGATGTGCCAGAGGCGGAGTATCAACCCAAAGCTGATCCGTGAAGGAAGGTGTAACATCCCTCAGCTGTAGACAAGGAAGAAAACCCAGGAAAGACACAATAACTGAAATAGGTCCAGTTGTGTTTGAAGTAGAAATATCATCTTGAACCAATCACATAAAGAAAAATGGGAACAAATTTCCTGTCCTCATGAATGTTAAGGAGTGACAGGGATTTTGGTGCGCTGGTCCTCTCAGGATGATAACGTTGTAAATACACAAAACCACTGTAATTTTTGTACCACACACAACACTAAGTACTTTATCTACAATATCTCATTGATCTTTTACAACCATCATGGGGGAACGTGTACTACTGATAAATGCAGAGCTTAATGAAGGGTGTGTACTAGGTCATACTGCCTGGGTTCAAGTTCCAGCACTGCCGCTTGCCAGAAATGTGACTTTGGGCAGGAGATGTCATCCTTATGTGCCTGAGTTTGACCACTTACAGATTTAATAGGATGTGGTAAAAACTTTATAGGTCCTCTGGGAAGTGTACATGAAGCTCCAAGGGGCAAGAGAAAAGAACAATGCCTAGCACGGAGTGATATTCAATGAGCAACAGCGGCTGTTAGGATCATCTCTCTTTTTCTGGGAAACCGTTAGAAACTGAGAGATGTTTAACTTGCCTAATACCAAAGAGATGGAATGTGTGAAAGCCAGGGCTTGAGCCTCATCTGCCTTTCACATCCAGTGTCCTAAAATACTTTCCTTTTCCAGATAGGTGACCTATTTTCCACCCCCACCTCACCCCTAGTCTGGGACTTAACAGTTGTGTTTCAAGTATTCATGTCAATTGCATTGGGCTGGTCCTATAGATCAACTTAAACTAAAGGATAGAAAGGACTCAGACAGTTCTAGACCTGGTCCAAAGCAGGGCTGGCAGCTTCTGCCGTGTGCTCTTGAGAGCCCTGATCTGATCTTTCACATAGTTTCCCCACCTCCACCTCTCTCTCTCTCTCTCTCTCTCTCTCTCTCTCTCTCTCTCTCTCTC